ATGCAGGTAGCCGAAGTTTTTAACGAACCATTGTGATTTGCGTATTCGATTATTTTGATCGATGATTTATATGGTGAGGTGTTTATTGGTCTTTCACGGTTCATATAGATACTGATTACAACAGGCATATTAGTAACTTTTTTCAATGTTTATAGGTTGAAAAATAATCGTTTCTACTTGCGCTCTTTAATGCATATTTAAAATAAGTTTAGGTAATAGTCCGTGAACATGTACAAGTTTGCCCCCGTCACTACACCAGATCTGATAGACCATAAAGTTATAACATATATACGCTCCATCACTTGGGCAATGAAGTGTCTGCCGCGCTGCCACAATGCCTGTTGGCGAACTTCACATGTCTTCGAAATACTTTTTTTTCTTATTTCTCAGACATGCAGGTTTCCTCACGATGTTTTCCTTCACCGCCGAGCACGTGGTAAATCAGCACTTAAAATTGCCACTAACAATTTCATTGGTGCCGGCGGGGATCGAACCCGGGTTCGCCGGCACCAGTGAGCCGTGGTAGCTCAGATGGTTAGCGCTCGCGGTAAATTTCAGAGTCGCGTACTCTGAAATTACAGCCCGGCTTCGATCCGCGCCGGCACTAATGATAGACCATAATCGTTGCTAAAGATCACCGATACATTCCAAGGATGATTCGTGAGGCATTGAAATCAAAACACATCCTAATTTCAATAGAGAAGATGGCTCGGAGCTACCATCGGATTGCGATCCTATATAAAATTAAATCTCAACCTAAGCATACAACTGCAAGACTTCAAGTTACTATAAGTTATACTGCGTAGATGAGGCCAAAAATTAAGACATTGGGACGTCGAACACCTCCGTTCCTCCCCCCCCCCCCCCCCCCCATGGGATCATAAAGTACTCGAAACGTTGGGCATATAAGATAAGTTAATATACGCAATAAAATCCGTAAAAACTAGTTTTATTTCAAAGTTTAGGCGCTATTTGATGAGGCTCGGTACGAGAAGTACTATTAGGTATTTTATGGTTCAGTCCTCGCCACAGAATATCTAAGTGACCTCACTATAAACATCTAATTTGGTTACTAATTGTATGTTTTTTGTTTGGTTTACTAATTACTACTTCAATTGTAATGAAATAAATTTTCAGTAGTTTTTTTTTAAGTTACCAATAAATTTTACCATTAATTTATAATAACATACTGAAATAATATTACCCTACCAACAATTTATTGCTATATGCCAGCCAATTACTAGTGCAGAATGAATTTTATCATCCAAGAAGACGTCAATTTTCTAACAGGTCTAGTAAGGTGTTATGTGGTAAAGCCACGCTGCAGCTATATTATTGTTGCATGAATGGGTCGGCTCGACCGGGGAAGGACCACGCTCTCACAGAATACCAGCGTAAAATAGCAGCTTAATGGTGCTATGTATCGTGGGGTGAGTTTAGAGAACCGGAGACCCTTTTTACTGGAAGCGAGGTATCTCATCTTGGTGCTCAGGTGTGACAACGCATCTGCATTTTGATGCTTGAATGTAATGTGGACTGTGTGCTCGTTTGTCACCCTTATATAAAAAAAGGTATCCTTAGCATTTCTTTTATTATGAGACATCTTTCTGGAATTTTTCTAAGTATCCTATTGCGACAAATAGCCACACGCATCGTACTTGCGAACACTGATAAGTTCCAAATTTAAAACGTGTTTTTTTACTTTATCATAAAATATGTTTCAGTTACCGATAACTCTACATATTATAATTTAATGGATATAGCCATACTATTTCAATTGTTTTCGCAGTTTCTTCTCATTCAGAAGAACAACTATATTTATTTGTTGAGGAAATTAACCTAGGTAGTTTTTATAAATTTAATTTAATGTCATTTTCATCTACCTAAATAGTTAATTTATATACGATTGAGAGTTAAATGTAAGAATGTTTAATTCTTATGTCATTTAACACTTAATAAAAAAGTAAAACATCTAGGCACAGTTTTTCCGTCCAGCTGCCATATTGCGTGTTTGCCATTTTTTACGACATTAAGTGAAATTGATAATTTTTTTATTACTTTTTTAATTAAAACTGTATTTAACCTTTTTTAATCAATATATTCGCTTAAAATTACTGATATATTTAAGAAAATTAAAAAAAATATGGATAATTAACGTAAATAAAAAAAATGTTTAATAATTTAGACAACTCCTTTATCATAAAATTAAACAGTATTTATAGCAATAGCAAAAATGCTTCTTTGGATATGAAAAGGGCTAAGGACTATATTTAAATAATTCTCAGAACATAATTTAAATGACCAGACCTAATATTGCGCATATAATATGTATACATACAGTCAAAAAGAGCGAAGAACTTGAAACGATCCCTCCATTTATAACTCAGGCGCAAGGTGCAATAAATAGAGTGTAAGGGCTGCAGTAAAACCTATAGTTGATGTCGCGATGTCGGACTAATCCTGATTTAGCGCACTAGCCGCGACCGCAGCCCGTATGTTACGCGTTAACTGGGAGACACACTGTTCTAAAAGACATCGAGTTATTGGATTTCTTAAATATTATTTAAATTTAAGATTTTTGTTGCTTTAAACGGACTTTCATGTATTTTTTATTTTTATTTATTTTTTATTTTATACGATAAGGGTGACAAACGAGCACACAGTCCACCTGATGGTAAGTGGTTGCTGCGGCCCATAGACATCTACATCTATCCTCTATTACAAATCAAAATGTAGATGCGTTGTCACCCGTGAGGACTAAGATGGAATGCCTCATTTCCAGTAAAAAGGGCCTCCGGCCACCTGCACTCACCAAGCGAAACGCAGAGGTAAACCTCTACTTCACGCTGGTTTTCTGTGAGGTCGTGGTACCACCCCGGTTCGAGCCGGCCCATCCGTGCGACAGCAAACGCTGCCGCGTGGCTCTACCACTGTTTAATTCATTATCTATTTATATTAAAACCGTGTAAAATACAGGGTTATTTTAAGAGTAGCCAAATTTTAATTTTAAATTTAAATATATAAATAATAATATATCGTTATTCACTTTTTGAATATAGGAGTAAATAGGGCTTCTTCTTTTATTTAATTATCCCAAATTGAATGTGATTTATGGGCAACGTTTTTGGCTACCGATCGACCCTTACGTGTGTGTGCGTATGCAGTAAAATCAGTTAAAATAATGCATTACCACGTATTTTGAATTTAAAGAATAGATTATAAATATTTTAAAAAAATGTTTGAGAATTTTTAATTAATTTTTCTTCACCATTTGCCTTTGTTACTTATTCTGAACCTTCTCTGCAAAGGCTGGTCATTGCAAAATAACCCTGTATATATGCTATGTATGTTTTAGATTAAATTATAAAAAAGTGGAGCAAGCATGAGGTGCAGCCTTATTATTAAAAGATTTAAATGCACAAACGACGTTCCAAGAGTTAACAATAATATTAGTATTATTATTAAATTTATTTTTAAGTACAATTTTGAATGCATGAAAAATTTAAATGTAAAGATACGAATGGGCTAAATAAAATTGCTTCTAATTTGTTGTTACAACCGCAATCCTTCAAATTCTGCTATTCTCGTCTTGATGAGATGTTAAATAGAACATTGTAAGGAAGAAAACTATTTTACATGACATGGACATTGAGCAAACTAAAGATATTTTAATAGGCTTTTGTTATTTAGATATTTTTATAGTTTTAATAGATATTTAAAAAGGCATCGTTTTATATTTACTTTATTAAACACACGAAAAATTTATGGCCCGCATTTAATACCTTATTTAATACCTGAACTTAACCTTCAACATCCTAATTTTTTCCACTCCTAACCTCATGGTCAATCATCATTCAACCCTTCACATGTCTACTGATTACAACAATGAAGATTCAAGCTATTAGAATATATACCTATTGTCTAATATTTTTTCAATATCAGCACTACATAATTTTAAAAAAAAACATTATTTAGGAAATGCAAATATATGCTAAAAACTGGTTTAATTAAACTTCGTATATTCCAGTTTTAGGATTTACAACCAATAACGCAGTATATCACGTTCAAAAGTAATTTTTTCCTCACAATATTGTGTACGACTCACTTCATTAAAAAATTTAAAACTCCGAGCATTATTCGAAGGCTTTGTTGCGTTTGATTTGTGTGTCTGGGCGTGTAAAGCACAATACTACATTACGTTATTATATGCGCTCTCGCTTTATTCGATTATAAACCGTGGCACAATGGCATTAAGTCGCTTTCGAGGAATTAACGTGACATGGAATTTGAATTTATTCAATTTTCAGTGAATTGCGTTATTTGTAGACGAGATAGATTACAAAAGTTAATCGGCTTACGAAATTAATCGAAGTGCTGAATTGTCAATATTTTGACTTGTATAGAAAAGTCGGTTGGTTTAAAATTAACAGGTGTGTTAATTGGGATCATATTTATTGGCACTTAAAGGGCTTACAGTGCAAAAGTAGCATCTTATCATGAACATGAATAAATTAATTTGACACTAAGCTTTAACATTTCACTAAAAAAAATGTAAATAATGATAAAATATGTAAATATATTCAATATAAAACCGCCAGACAATATACAATTAGTTAGTTAATTAGATGTTTTCTCAAAATTCATTTGCTATGTTGGTATACAATTCTCAATTTAATCTATCCTATATATTATGTACGTTAGAGCATAACTTCTTTTTGTATGAACCGATCTACCTAACAACAACATACACAGGTTATACTTCAGGAGTGGTCTCATATAAATTAAAAAAAAATCTAAATGAGACATATTTAGACGTTTTTTGGAGCTGGCTATTCCTTCTCTCTTATGCTTAAGGTCTCGAAGGCGAAAAACTTAGATAGTTTTCATTTAATTATTTTTTTATTTAAAAAATATAATAACTTATTCACCAAAGGGCAAGTTGAACAAATCGAACCGTAAATAGACCCATTTATTATACTAATATTATCTTTTTGTTGCAGGTGGGCTCAACTATGGACATGTCGAAATACACGATTGAGGAAAAGTATCGATACGGCATGTATCCCGATCCCTCCCGAGGGTACTTAGATTCCGCAGCGCTATCCAAAGCGTACATGTACATGGACCAACAGCAACAACGCTCCTGTCCTATGGACATCAGCAAGATGTACTCGGAAGCTTCGGCTGCTGCTATGGCTGGCTTGAGTTCCGCCGTAAACTCATCGTCAAGCCTCTCTCCTAGATCCCCCGCAGAATCTCCAGATATGACCCCCAAGAATTCACAAGAACGGGCTGAAGGCAGTTCCTCCTCGGGTTCCAATCCTTCCCCTTCCTTGCCATATTATCAGAGTTCATCCAGTATCCTGATGCCGCAATACCCTGGCCAGTATGCACAGAGTACTCAAGCTGAATCGGAGTTTCGGAGACCTCTGACTGTTATATTTTGACCTGAAGCTTAGTTTGTAATGTTGTTGTATTTAATTTGTGTATATCTACAGTTGCGAAAATGTAAGGACAGTTATTTCCATTGTCAAAAGAAGTGCACGATATTTTGTATTTAGAAAACGAACTAAATTTTCTACATTCTGACATTCTTTAATGTCTCTACAATTTTGCTGTTGCATCGTAGTTGTGTTAGGAAATATTTATCAAATCGTCAAGGCTTTTATGAAGCAAAGCAACTTTTAAAATACAGTTTAATGTAAATTTTTATTTCTTCTCTTGTAAAAAGTATGGTTTGGTATGGTTCAATTGAATCAAAAATGCTTGGTGTTTAATATGTTTGTAACGTACGAAATAAATATTTCAATTTCTCAACGTTTAGGAAATATATATATTTATTTTTATTTATAATCAAAGTTCCTCTGCCCTCTTCTAAAAGATCTTCATCTCTTACACGAGTAAGACGTTGATAAGTCGCTGTATATTGTAAATATTTTAGTAGAATACAGGTTTTCACTAACTAAAAGTAGCTGCAACTCATTTTAAGATGCCACAGGTATTTTATATAATTTTATTTCAGACCATTTAAAAATATTTACAAAAAAAGAAAGTGGGTCAATTTGTTCGGTCAAATAACTAATTTTACTGTTTTTACCAGCAACTAGATTAGGCATTAGTTAGTCCTCCGGGGTCACATGGACCATACCATTCTTTTACCATCCCCTAGAATGTGTGCTCGTTTTAAACACTTATTCTATAAAAATAGTTTTGTAGTAATATAATATGAATAAATCGAAATACATTTATATAAAAATTAAAGTTATTATTAAACATTCATACTAGTTTGCACTCTGGTTATACTACGCAATTTTAATTTAAGTACATTTTATTCTGTTCTCAAAATAATTTGCAGTTACTTTTAGTTAAAGAATTATTTAGAAATGTCCAAGTTCCATTACAACGACATTTTGATACATATAACTCTGTAAATATAGATTAAGATGGTATATACATCAAATAGTGTTAAAATTAGTACAATAAACATTTCGAAGTTATATTGTTTAAAACTGGGCCTTATAAATTATTATTATTATTTAAGAAATATTATTGTCCATACACAATGTATTTCGTGAGCGTGAAAAGCTTTTTGTATATTTTGTGTTACATTTTTTTTTATTAAGTACGTAATGCAAAAATTTACAGAGTCGCATTTAAGATTTAAGTGTATCGTAACATTGCATTTATGTGTTGCCATAAATATTTAATAATAATAATTAATTGTTATATATGAGCATATAATAATATTAAATGGAAAATAACTTACGAGAAAAATCTAGAAATTATAACTGCGACCCCATAAAATTATTGAAGTTCTGATATAAGTGAAATCTATTCAAGTGTTCGACATTAATTTATTTTAATGTTTTTCATTACGTTTTTGTTTTTAATTAACGTGGTATATTTTAATTTTAAGATTGACTCTTATCGATTAATTTGGGAATTAGTATTGACAACACTATGATTGACTGATATAATATAATTACATGCTCATTACCATTTGATTCTTATTGTCTGTGTTATTTCTTCGTGTAATTTCTTATTTGTATGATAAAATTATCGTTCTGATTCTGTTACCCAGTGAATATAGAATTTTTTGAACGACTGTCGTGTTTGATGTAAATTACAAGAATAATTAAATAGATTTTTAATTATAAAATTAATTGTATAGCTACGTCGATTGTACGGCGACACGATTAAAATATTATTAAAATTAAATAATACGTAAATTAAAACGTTGAAAATTCCACTCTGTTGTTTTCTTTGAAACCTCTTAAACAGAGTCCTCTCGTACTATTATTTTTATACGTAACCTCCACTTTTTTCGCCTATATAATCGTTCTGTGTCTGGATGTTTATCCTTGTGAAATCTATGTATATAAAGATTTCACAAGGACAAACTTCCAGACACAGAACGATAATTTGTAGGCTATACAAATACTTGTTCTTTCGAGATTCGAACCCGCGCCCTATTTCGCTGCAACTCATTGCTAAGCCACTGCGCCACGGAGCTGTCATGTTACTCGTGTAGGTATAATTGGTTAGGTATTAATATTGCCTACTGTCATAATACTTAGCAATTTCTTTCTTGCCAAGGAGTCCGTCTGAGAAGACGCCACAATTTTTCTCTTCTTCTTTAGAAGGAGTTTGAAGGGGTCGGCAAATCACACAATCACTCTGCTGAACGTTTGCAGCAGTCAGATGTGGGGTTGTTATAAACTAATTTCCTTAATTCCGTGTAAAGAAAGAAAATTATGTGTCCTGCCCAGTTTTAAGAAGACGTCCCACCCTCCCTCAATCAAAACCGCTAAGATCTTAGCGGCCAGCCTTAGCTGAGTCTACTTCACCTGAGGACGCCTCGTGTAGAGGCGACACACGTGTCGTATTTTCGAGAGTGGTGTTTCGTGCCTAGCGTGGTGGTGCTGGGGATGGTAGTGCTGGGATTGACGGCGACGGGTATAGTGCGCGCGATTGAGGGAGGGTGGAAGGTCCCCTTAAAACTGGGCAGGACAAATCATTTTCTTTCTTTACGCCGAATTAAGCAAATTAGTTTATAACAACCCCATTATAATGAATTTCCGCAAAGTAACGCCTGATTCTGTTAATTAGCAGTCAGATGTATTCTAGTATTAGATCATAGCACAATGTTTCAGTGCTTAAACTGAGGAAACTTACAAGTAACTATAACAAAAGGCAAAGATTTTAAACCTACCTTTATCCATTTCTACTGCCAACAGCAGTGCATTCAAATGATGTGAATGCCTGTCTTTCCAGCGAGGTTGCCATAATAAAATAATAAAAATAATAATAAAATATTTATTTGCATAAAACATGGTACATTTTTAGGTCTTATAATATAGTGTGAACATGCATGTTTTACCGATTTATCAGTGTGCAAATATTAAGTCGACATGCAATAATTGAATAATTAAAATTACAAAATTACAGTAACGTTTCATATCAAAATTTAATAAAGTAATATAATGTCAATGAATTTATTATGTAAAAAGAGAAATAAATAATAAAAAATATACAGGCATGGTCATGTCATAATGCATAATGTCAAACTAGTATAATGTCAATCTTACAAATTCTAATTAATTTGTCAATTTAAAATTTCAAATAACAACAATTCGCTTGAGGTGACCGTCACGGCAGAATTACATCAATTAACATGCTTAAGTTTACTTAATTACTCGTACTTACGTAATCACGACCTCACTGTCAGACGTATTGTAGGGTACTTTGTCTTCTTTGTTTCTAATTAAGCTGCTGCAGCCTCCCATTATCTCGTTTGTCAAATTAATATTATAAAACCACTATCAAAATTCACTGCCAAACATTGGCTTGCCCATAGATTGCCTTATATGGAGGACATTTGCCATAGTCGCCAAGCAGGCGGGTTGGCTGCTGGCCATCTGGTTGGTATCACTCTGTCGTCTCTCACGACACCCACGAGATGTTATGTGGTAATGGATATTTTTACACCGCCACTATATGTATGATAATTACTTTTTTGTAATACTTACATATTTGATTTTAGCACACGTGTGAAATCTTAATTCGTTTTAAATTACCGAAATCAAATCTCACAGACCAGTGTCAAAGTGTCGATTTTGGATCCACAGAACCGCTTGCCTAGCGTATACAGCAAATACAGAAGTATTTGCTGACGCCAAACGATTCTTACCATACACTGAATATCTGCGTCAATTAGCATAATAATGTATTACGTATGGTGAATGACAAGAATCAGACAGGAAGCATTCCATGTTAGTCTTCAGAGGTGACCACAAATCTGCATTTTGTTTCTTTATTGGGATAGATGTTAGTTCTCTATGGGCTACAGGAACTTACCATCACGTGGATAGTTGTGCAGTGCTAGGTTGTCACCTTTATTCTATAAAAAAAACACTACCCAAAGGCAATATTACGATAGGCTAACTAACCAACTATTAAACCAACGACTGATAAGAATATATTTATTAAGATTCTCTAGTAGCCCCGTGCCGACAAATGAAGAGTGGGATTACAATCTGTTGATTGGATAAGATGCAGCCGACTCACTGTTTATGTGGCAGTACCTGTGGTAGGCCTATTTTTAGTAGCAACTTTGTGTTGCGACTGTTAATATTAGAATCCTTTTGCCTAGTTGATAGAAAATCTAATTACCATTTCTTCTGATATTCCAGAAAGAATTAAAAAAAAGAAAAGGTAGCTGTACCGACCCTGCCAACTATCGGCCAATATCAATTACCTCCATACTCCGCAAGATTATGGAGCGTATATTGAACGCCCACTTAATGGCATACCTAGAGCAATGATCTCCTCAGTGATCGCCACTACGGGTTTCGCCGAAATCGATCAACTTCTAGCGTATGTCACTCACATATGGGGCGAAGCCCTCGAGAACAGTGGTGAAGCACTTGCTGTTTCCCTCGATATTTCGAAGGCCTTTGACAGGGTTTGGCACGCTAGTCTATTTGGCAAGTTTTCAGCGTACGACTTATCCCCTGGCCTGATTGTCTGGGTGAAGGACTTTCTGAGTGAACGGTCTCTCCGAGTCGTCGTCGATGGCTGCTGAATTCTCCTCTTTGATGTACTAAGGTTTAAAACGCGCGGAAGGTCTAGCCTAGCTGGTCTTCCTTTCGTGAACCGTAGATAATGATACCTACAAAAAATAACCGAAACATATGGTTTGTTTCACTGATCATTTAGTGTCTGAGTGTTCTTTGCACTAAGTACTTACATAAAAATGAAAATATGAAACACCTAAAAAAACCAACATATCATTGATACGGATATATGAAATTATTTATAATGACATTATTACTGTTCATTCTACTTTTTAAATCGCTTAAAATAATAAAATGCCCTCTTATACAATTACCAAACTAAATCTAAAGTTGTAAGTATATATTAAAACCTCTATTTTCATGCCTTACAT